AAAAAAAAAAAAAATACAGAGCAAATCTAGGAAAAGTTATTAGATACATATTATCCCAGTTTATAAAATCGCGATGGATCCGAACTACCAAAAAATCAAAGGAATATTAATTCTTTAGAAAATTAGGGGAAACTGCGACGCAAAACGAGTGGTGGGTGTCCGTCGTCAGTAGACTGGCCACTTGCACTCCTCAACGCCAGTGACCATGACGTACGAATACAAATGAGCCGTTCCACGCCAGTTCGCATATTTCCTTTAGTTGATATCTCGAAATTTCTTAATTAATAAAGCCTCCGCCAGTTACAGAAAACAAAAGAGAGAACCTAGAAAAGTGAATTTTCCGCCAATTACACCCGTCAAAGTTGCGAAAAGCGCTAGGCTGCCGATTGATAAGCCTGTCTTTGCAGACCTGTAATTTAGTTCGAAATTTAAAAATATTTTGATTTATCAGATTTGCTACGTCTTCTACTTTCAAATCCATATATTTAATTCTAGTGAACAGGTAAATGAATATAACAAAAACAAAAACTTAGAGAATATTCAGAGAAAAGTGTCTTTAAATTTAAAAAGAAAAAAAACATAACATGTAAGATTTTCTGCTCTACAGCATACTATAAGCTGGTGACGTCGCTTTGCCTCTGTCGAGAGTTATCAGTCGCAAAATAACACATAGCTGGACAAAATCCATCTTTTTAACAGTAATTCCACGCATTTTGCAATGCGAAACCGTCTCCAGCCGCTTCTGAAAGCGGCGGAGAGCGGCTATGAAAATCCGGTGTTCTGACCGAAAAAAAAATTTTTTTAGAGAAGTTAAAATCACTTCATAACGGTACCAAACCGCTATTTTCCAGAATAGAGCTAGCCTTTATTTTGCTTTGTATATGTCAAAGTTAACTAGAAGAATTAATAAAACTCACTTAGTCCACAAAAAATGAATACACCAATAATCTTTGACGTGATATAAACTTTATAGAACAGTGGGTTTTGTTCGCAAATTCGCAAAGCACGCTTAGACCAAAAGAGTTTTCATTTTCAGCGTTTGAGAGGCTAACAAGTAGAAAAATTTCTAAGTCCTTTGTACATTCATACGTACTTAACATTTTCTAAGTTCATATGCTCTAATTACCTAAATCGGGTACAGTATGAAAACACTAAGGAGAACTTGCACCTACACTTACCTGACTGAAACAGTAAATTCCTGGACCTCTTTGTGAAGTAAAAACGCCCACAGGCTACAAAATTTTGGTGTGGGGAAGGGGAAACGGGAAATGGTGAAATGAAAGGTATTCCTTAGAACTGTGCAGAATAATAATTTATTAATGTTATACAATAGAATACAAATCTCTATAATAAATCCTCAATTGCTGATATATACTGAACTTTTGCAGCCGCTCTCCATAACTTTCAGAGCAGCTGAAGACGGTTTGGCCACTATAAAATGCGTGGAATTAGTGACAAAAAAATAGATTTTTTTCAGTCTTCTGACCCTTTTCGGCTTATACCTCTAAAAGCGAGCAAAGCAACATCTACATTTTTTGAAAAGTCATAAAGTAGAAAAGTTTCTTTTTTTTTTTGATTTGTTATTATATATAAATTTCTATATTTACAAATTTGTCTCTGCTTGATGCTTACTGAGGCAGAAGTCGAAACTGCAACCTATAAAAGGTGGTACAACAAATCGGCGCCTAAACTGGCTTAGCATCGCAAATAAGACTCATTCTCCGATCAAACACTCCACTTTATATCATCAGAATGAAAGGCGAAAACTTCAAAACGGTTTGTGAGCCGAACTTGCTGTAGAAACGCAGCAGTGAAACAATGAAATTTCGCGCAGTTTGTAAAAGGGGGAACGCGCAGCAAGTATTGTTACAATTGTTTGAATATAGTGAAAAAGAAAAGTCACTTAATACTAAAAAAATAAAATAATTCACATTTCTGTCTAAAGCGGAACAAAGAAAAAATCCGCTGATATGCTTTCTATTAAATTCAGACAACACTTATATCAATTGCACGCCTCAAACAACAACCACTTGGATTTGAACCTAAGAAAAAGTTGGTTGTGCTTTTCTTGGCTCTACAAAAACAGGGGTCCTGTCAAGGCAACAATGTGACAGTTACATCCTTCCTTAAGCATTAAACTTCAAAGAAAAAAAGTTTCACACTAAAATCCCTGATTGTTTTGATGAAGATGTCCTGAACAGATGAAATCATTTGATACGTATCTCTTTGTGATCTTAACAAATTAGTTGCCTCTTTTGCTATCCTTCAAATGAAGTGCTTAACTGTAATCAGAAAAAAGCACTAATCCTTTAACGAGAAGAGAATAAAAAGACAAGTTGGTAACTAATTTTTTCGTGCTCAGCTTAGTGACGGCTGTCACTATAAAAAAATGTCCTTTAGACTTTGGTACCTTTATTATCTCTATTCCTCCCTTAACTCTAACATGCGATTACAGATATCAAAGCTAAATAAATTGACGGTGTACTTAATCAAAGATGAAAAAAAATTGCTCATTTCTATACGGAAGCGAAGTGAAACCAGAATCCAGAATGAAATAGGTGCCACGGCGGAAATTTAGTTTCGTGATTCGAAATTCCCGCCTTCAGTGCAGTGTGTTGAGAAAATCGATAGAAAATGGTTAGTGGAAGTGTACTGTAGCCGTGTAGAAAATTATTTGCTGTTTGCCCAACGGAAGGACACCCCACCACTGACTGGTCGGAGCAGTGCGTCTTCGGAACAGTTGGTGGTCTGCTAAATGTTTCACTCGCTCCCGTAACTTTCACAGAAGAAAAAAACGTCCATCGGAAGTTGCCACAGTTTTTTAGTTTTCTGGTTTTCATTGAGTCGCTTTCGATAGATAAAGTTCTTTATTCTTTTCATTCTGTTCTTACAGTCTGACTCCTCGTTGATGTAACGTGAAAAAAAAAGTTTGTAGGTTTTTGTCGTGCAAGTGCCGCAATGGTTTCGAGTCAGACCTATCGGAAGACTTCTCTTCAGAGAGTGTCCCTGATAATTACCGCTTTTTTTTAAAAGTACTTCATCTGTCACATCTTTTTGTGTCTTTGTTAGCCGTTTTAGTTCTTTCAGTTTGCTGACGACTAGACGTCATAACAGTTACGAAATGAATTCGAATAATTGTCAGTTGCTTGAAATTTCCTGAAGTCTTAATTTATTTCACTTCAATTTCTCGAGTTTCTTCAAATAGTTTAATTACTCGGTGATCCTCTGTGATTCAGTTTGAGCGTTTTTTCTTTTCCTGCTTATCTGAGCAAGTTTTCGCAATTTGTGGGGTGATTTTCACGTTCAGCGTAGTTAATCGGTGTTTACAGGTACTTCAACGCTATACCTCATTCGTGCCTCGAGGATTCGCATTTCTGGCCTTACGGTCCGTAGTTGAAAATACTTTGATTTTTACAGATGTCCCAGTCATCTTTTTTCTCTTTTAAATTAAATTTGCAGGAAATCGCTAGTGGCAGAGTACTCTGTGTTTTAGTAATGGAAGTTCCTGGATCGCCTTCTATGGGGCTTGGTTTCGCACCAGTCAGTCAGCCCTTGGTTAAATTGTTCAAAGATTTCGAAGTATGCTTTGTATTTTTATAAGTTTTTTAGCCAGATGTAGCTTCAAGTTGAGGTTACTATGAGTTTGAGAACTACTTGTTTTTACCTTTAATATGGTCATTTAGTTTGTGTGATAAAGAAAAAAGTTAATGTTTGTTTTTTTTTCTTGTCTTCATTCTCCTAGTAAGTGTGTGCTTTTCTGTTGCGATGACATCATTTTCAGAATTACCATGGTTTTGGAACTCAAAGAACCCCGAAGAAAAGCATATCTATTCCGCAACGTTCTGAAAGTGGTTAGTTGCTGAGGACTTTACATATTAGTGGTTCATGAAGTATAGCGTCCGGTAACTGCTTTATTTAGAATGAGATGGGTTTGCATTCAGTGTTTCAGCACTTATTGAAGAAGAGGGAAACCTAACTGTTTTATTGATAAGTGATATAATATTTTTATTTTCCAAGTTGTTTATCGCTCGTTGATAACGATTGCTTCAGAGTCCCTTACTCGCGAGAGCGCTGTTTGCACCGAGTATACTGTTGAGTATTTGGCCGATTTGTTAAAGGAGAAGAAGCAGCTTGATGTCTTCCCTCAAGCATTTCGGAACATTGAACGTCTTGTTAACGATGGTACATTTCTATTTGATGTGTCCTAAACTTTTACTTTGGGAAACCGGAACTTGTTATAAGTCAAAAGCTAGTTCATCTAGCTTTCAGAAATCGCGCGTGTTCGTGCAGCGCTTTTCCAGTGCCATTTCTCGATCAAAGAAATGGATCTTCCAGAACCTGAAGGTGAAGAAATAACCGTTCAAGAAAAGATTTATGTTCCTCGCAAGGAGCATCCTGATGTAATTCCGATCGCTTCATTTTAATCGTCTAGTTGTGTAGGAAAAATTTTTTCATTACGTTCAAATTTTTAACTGAGGCTACAGATTCTCATTGCTCATGCGTATGGAGGAAATAAATATTCATCGGTGACACTAGTTGGCATTTTCATTGGTCTGAGTAACCTTCTAGTTCAATTTTGTTGGTCGCATTTTGGGACCTCGAGGTATGACTGCGAAACAGCTTGAGCAGGAAACTGGGTGTAAGATAATGATTCGTGGCCGTGGCTCCATGCGTGATCGTAAGAAGGTAAGTGAGCCATAAATTAATCTAGGTTTAGGAAAGTCGTTGTTTAATTACAAAGGATGGTTGAGTTGTTTTAGGAAGAAATGAATCGTGGTAAGCCTAACTGGGAACACCTTGATGAAGAGCTTCACGTATTAGTTCAGTGCGAAGATACCCCTAACCGTGTTTATATTAAAGTGAAAGCTGCAGCTGACGAAATTAGAAAATTACTTGTGCCAGCGGTACTTGTTCTAGAGTTATATTTACCAGTGGTTGTTTTTGCCGTTTAACTTTTTTTGATTGAGGTTACGTGTTTTTTTTTGTTTTTTTTGTTTTTTTGTATTGTGAGAAGTACACCTGAGAGACTTAAATTTTTCTTTGTAACTTATTAGATCGAAAAAACCTTAAGCTTTAATCTATTGTTTCGTGAAATACTAGCTACTCAAAGCTTTCTTTATAGCCAGAAGGTACGGACGAACTTAAAAGAAAACAGCTAATGGAACTAGCTATTATTAATGGCACATACAGGCCAATAAGCAAATACTCAATGTGTATGTTTTTACTCTGATTTGTTTTTGGCAGGTAATGTCTATTCCTTGAATTTTTGGACATGATCTTTAGCATGTGCACGTCTGTTAACTCCAATGACACTTCTATCACCTATTCGTCCCGCCAATACTGCAATGGCTCCACCACCTATCTTTGTTTCTCCCACTGCGAGCCCGATTACGCCTGGCACGAACGTTGGTGGTTCTTCAACTGTTAACACATACTTGCAATCTCCAAATCTTGATTACAACATGATGATGAAGTAAGCCTTGCTCCTAATGCAGGAAACTTAATAGTTCTCCTAGTGCCGTTTTACCCCTGTGTATCCTATTCTTTGCTGGCTCAGAGAAATGGTATTTTAAAAAGTTTTGCGTGGTTATTTGTAAGTTTTCGCAAGCATCAGATTTTGGTTCAAGCGTTTTATTTCTCCCAGAGCCGTGCACCATAAGGTAGAAAATTAAAAGTATTTATTGAACAGGAAAGAGGTTCACTAGTAAGGACAAGTCATATGCATCTTTACGGCCATAGATTAACGTAATTTTTGATTTTAATTTCTTTTGACTTAGTTATATTTGTAGTCAATTATCTCTGGATGGACCTCTTGCTTCCGTTCCGCTAGAATTTCAGCAGCATAACTCACCGTTTCCTTCTGGCACTTCACTTGCTGCTCCCGCCGCTGTACCCAAAAACTTGCAGCATTACTTTATTGACCCGATGCCGATTACTCCTCCTGGCTCGACAGGTTCAGACCGTCGTTGAAGAGTGTTCGGGTCGTTATTATTGGCAGTATTTCCTTTTGATCTGTTTATTAGGTATTTTCTGTGGTCTGTGTTAATAAGTTTTTCATAGTTTTTTGTTACTTTAACTGTGCCAAACTTCACTGCATAACAGTTCTTTTATTCCTTTCTCGTGGTGAAGGTGGCGGGTTTTTTGATTTTACTTCGTAATAACATGGTTTGTGTGGTCTCATTTTTCATTTGGAAACTGTTGAGCTTTGTTCCAATGATTTGTGCTCGGTCTCACAGAAATCACCACTACCTCTTTTCATTTGTCCCAAGCCTATTCTATTCTCTTTGTAACTAAAACTTGTAAACGTCATTGTCTTCACCATGGCTGTTTGGTTGAGTTTTTAATAATAACTTTTCCGCTTTGCGCCGATTAGATAAAATTATTTGAACATAAACGCAAGTAGTCTTTCATTAGGTATCTAGTTTCACCAAGCAGCTTTATAAATCCGCTTTTTTTTCCGTTTTTGTTTATTAAACGATATTTTATTAAGTTGTTCATGTTGCTTCCAATCACTTCCGTTTTTGCTTATTTGCTTTGATTGACGTTTTTGTGTTCGAAAGACTAAACTGCATTTTGTAAAGTTTTCTTTTCAGGACTTTGGTTGTTGCATGCTGCTATAGCTTGAGTGGCTTGGTTAGGGGGAGGGGGAGGAGTACTTTAGTGCTTTCAGGAGGAAGTGGACTGGAATTACTATTTGACTTTTGTTCCTGGGGGCTTTTTATGCTATTTGGAGGGGCAGCACTGGAGGTTTAATGTAGTGAAGGCACGGTTTTTCTGAAGGGGCTCCTTAAAGTACAGTCACTCTGGGCTGCTCTTTACGGCACTCAGAGCACTGATTTCTTCAGTACGGTGCGAAGTGGGGTGACTATGCGGACTTGTCTGGGATGGAAGATGACTAGTTCAAGGGAATTCGGTTGCTGTAGGCGGTTGAGTAAGCGGGCGTGTACGCAAGGCGCATAGCAAAATTTTGGAAAACTAGATTCTTTGAGCGGGCCAGCCACGTGTGAGTTGACTTGGTAAGGAATTCCTCAAAATTGGAAAAGAAGAGTGCAGGGGATGCGCTGTTGACAGTACTGCCTTTGCAGCCTAAAATGGCCAATTTTTTTTTAGTCAAGTGGGTGGTTATTTAGTTTGCTCTTGAAGTTTCCGGTAATGGCATTCGGTTTTTCGTCGTTTTGAAAGCCTGAGTTTTTTGCTCACGGTGTCGTAGCAATATCGTCTTTCTGCCGTAATCACTTTGGTAGTGGAGTGCCAGCGAAATGAAGGTTAGGGTAAACCCACGCGAGGCGCGTGTGTGAGAAAATGTTCAGGAATCTTGTACTGAAGGTGCTAGCCACCCAGTCGTTCCCTAAGTTTCTGCACCAGTATCTTTAAAAGAAGCCAATTCATATTTAGCAGAAGAAACCGTTGTGAATTTACTTTATCGGAATTTTAACAAACTAGTGATTTAATTATTAGTTTGTTTGAACCGAGAAGTAGTTGAACTTTCAAACCAAATTGAGCAAGTGGGAAAGTGAACAATGTGCGCAGGAATGAATAAATTAAAAGACGCTTTAATCAAAAATGGGCAGGGGAACTGCGGTTCCGGCATTGCTAAGCGGGAATTTGTTCAATCCCCAGCAGCTAAAATGTGTGAAGTGAAGAAGGTAGCAAGGTTTTGGATAATAATTAGGTTTCAAAGTAGGATATTGCAACGTGCTTATTAGCGCAAAAACGGTTTGCAGTGTGAAGAGAACGGTTGCAAGAAAGTTCTTAAGACTATTCTCTCACACTTTACAGTGTGAGAGAATAGTCTTAAGAATTTTTTTTCTCCGGTGGAACTTGGCAGCGGGAACGAGTTTACTTTCTCTTGATTCTGTTTGATTTGTTGCATAAAACTCTTTGGTTTCTGCATCATTAGGCTCTTTCTTTTCCTGTTTTAGAAAATAATAGGCATTATAATTTCATGTATGCTTCCTCCTGTTGTTCTAGAGGTGGCACTGGTAGCAAGTAGAGAGACGCTTTAGTTTCTGAGTTTAGGTCCGGGGATTGAGATAGTAAGCAGTTGTCAGTGGTAAAAAGGGATTCGCAAAGTGCAGGCGTTTGGATGTTTTTGATGAGGATTGCTACGAAAGCCGCAGTGATAACAGTTAAAAATAACAAGTGTAGCAGATATCACTAAAGAAGGGCTTGTTTGGAAAGACGGAACAGTCGTCTGGACTGCGAAGAATAATCACTTTTTTAGATTGCTAATAAGTCCACCCGACCTTTCTTCGATATATGCTTCCTGTTACTTTCTTAATGCTGGTGTTGTAGCTGCCCAGCATAACAGATGACAGGCATATCTTAATAACCGTATTTTGAACTGAGTCTTACTCCAGAAGGGCTGGCAGCGCAACATAAAGCAATCTGAGGCGAAATGGGTGACAACAGCATACAATTTTCTTCAGCAATTCGGATTTGTCGGATGTCGCTGACAAAGATACAAAGCTTTTATGTTGATTTTAACATTAACCATTAGTTCAATTGACTTAATTTTCTATACTTGCGACTTATCGATACGTATTAACGCACAATGATGTCTAGGTCAACTGCAGTGGAAAGGGATCTGTGTGGATTGTAAATTTAGCTCAACGGTGAACCTATTTTCTAGGACCTCAGTTAACCTTAGCCGCCTTAGATTTCTAAGGTAGGAAAAATGCTACCGAAATTTTGCTTTTTTGGCGGGTAGTGGACGTGAAAGCAGTTTTCGGCACTTAGTGAGCATTCACCGACGAGTATGATTATGTGATCAGCCCACTACAGCTGAACAGTACTTTTCGTAGCATAGCCATCAACTCTGTAGTCGTAGTGATGCTGTGGTTGCGTTAGTATATCTTCAGTGCAATCGATTGGTATTTTGATTGTTTGAAGACAAATTCTTCTTTTTGACGACCCTTGTTAGTGTCATTTTCATCTATTATTTCTATACATTTTTACTTTAAGCGGTTTATTTTCATGTTCTTTTTCTTTTTTGTTGTTTGTTGTTCTAGTCACCAATTGTCTGTTACGGAATTTTTTAAAATTACCGTCTTCTTCAAGATTTCTTCATCCTGTTGTTTTTTTGTTGATTTTATGTCGGACTTCCCTCGTTGTTCCTTGAGATGCTTACCTCTTAGCATACACAAAAGCAACGTTTTTTTTCATCCGTCCTTAAGCATTTGTTCTTCCAACTCACCCTCCTTGCCTAAGACTAACTCATCGGTCTCATGCAACAAATACTTGTGAAAGACGCTGCTGGGATCATTTGAGGTTTCCAAGGGTTGCAAGATCTGTATGACAGGCACATTAACACAAGCGACTTCATTTTTCGAATTAATGTATCGGTTTGGCACAGCTAAAAGCGGCTCAATTGGCTGGATTCCAACACCTCGCTAGTTTGGCTAATTGCTTGTTATGACAGAGTCAACGTTTTAAGTTGAATGCAACTTTGCATTTATTTTTTTGCACCAATAGGTGATAGTCAAAAGACCTTTTTTTCACGTTTCTCAAGTTATCTGATCAGCACCTTGGTATTCAGAAAAAAAAAAAAAAAAAAATAGTGAAAACGTTTTTTTCGACTGAAACTGCAACTTGAAAAGACTCGTTTGTAGCTTTTTTTAGGAT